TTGCTGAAACATAAAGAAGTGACCCAGTTGGAAAGCAGATGCACAGCAGTACTTCTGATAAAGGAAACCTTTTGAAGGTGAGGCAGCTGTGTGTCAAGTCCCACTTGGCTCCAGCAGACTTCCAAGAAATAAACCATCTTCAAAGTGTTACTGCAAAGGACCAGGATGCAGGAATATGTACAGATACAACTGCTGATGTTGCACCTGGGCTCAAATCCCCACAGGACAGCGCATCCAAAGTTTGCCTCCACTCCACTACTCCTTTGTGTCACTCACATTGATTCATGCTGACTGAGCAAAGCCAACTAAACACCACACACACAAAAGAATGATAAAAAAGAGAATGCAAACAGCTTTTGGCACTGAGGGTGGAACATACTGTAGCAGCATAGTGCACCCTCGGGAAATTGATTGTTCTTCTTTCTTCACATCCTTTTTTTTTTGATGGCTTTGAGTCTTCAGAGACCCAGATGTTGATTTTAATTGTATAGACACAGAATATAGCTGCAGATATTTCTCTAAACCTGCAATTTATTTCCACAGTCAAACAAAATCCACAGATCATTTGGGATCAACATCTACAAATAAAAGAAATGTTAGAAATGGCAGAAGTTTCCCTTTAAAAGTCTGACACTTGGCATTCTTCTTCTCCTTCTTTTACTGAAGAATCCTATAAACCTTGGTTCATTGTCTCACACAACAAAGAGCTTTAAAGTATTAACTCCCACTGGCTCATTCGACATAAATGTTTCTTTGAGCAGAAATTATTTCAATAAGTCTTCAATGTTTAGTCACACTGGTGGACTACAGTCCCCTCAGTGTATTTTTGTTGGAAGATGAGAGGGTAGAATAAAAGATGGGATGGTTGTTAAAGTTGAAATTGTTCTGGCAGTTGGACAAAATATTCTGGCTCTGGCTTGTTGGAAGTTTGATAACCCTCATAACTCCAAGTGCCTTGCCGAAGCACCCTTGAAAAGATCAATATTTTTAGGGATCCATCTCCTTAGAGATTAATTAGACTTCACCACCGCCATACACATAGACACCACCTCTTGCATCTCTCCCACTTGGAAAACATGCGCTGTATCTCAGGCTGGTTGTCCAATCATTATTTGTGCCTTTACAGGTCGACTGACAAAAACCACTTTCAGTTTTCACAAAACAATTTATTTTAGAGATGGAGAAAGTATGCAATGACACGGCGGCAGGAACAACTATAGCTCATATAATTTACTTCTGTCACTCAGAAAAAGCTGCCACAATAACTTTAAATTATTTGCTGTGTTTTCTGTCTTGAACAGTATTTCTCTACCTGTAAAGTTCACTTTGCTACATCTACAGTTATTCATATACTGAATATTGTGAGTGTCACTGAGAATAAAATATAATCCAACCAAAATATGACAGATATAGATTATATGAAATTGAACAACTCCAAACCAAATAAGTTTCTTTGTTTAACAAGCTGCCTTCCATTTCCATTAAACAGAAAAAAACATTTTACAGCTAAATAAAAGCCAACAAATCATTACTAATATTTGTAGATTGTGTATCTTGCTTGATAGTAACTATTTAAAATGTATTTTTTTATAATTGAAATGGAGACTACAGCCTACTTGTAAGCAAGGCTCCATTTGAGAAAAATCATGTTTTCTTGCATTTTTGCTGATGATGTTGTTCTTTTAGCTTAATCAGACTGTGTCCTCATGCATTGGGATGGTTTCTGGCCAAGTGTAGCTTGAATAAAGTGGTAAAGTAAGAACGAAAATGCTCAAGTCTTCTAAGTAGGTAGTTTTACATTGCGTTTAAAAAATAATTCATACGACTGGTCATTAAAAGGCTCATTAGTGTTTCCTGATCTAAAACCTCTGTGGTTAAAGTTTGGTTGAGTAACTAAAACTTTGATGTTACCTAAGGGTTTTTTGCAGTTTTTGGAGTACATTTGCCTTTGTTGTAAGGGGACAGGTAATATTAATCTTCTCAATAAATTACCAATGCTGTTTTATGTTCTGGTGAGGACTGTTCAGGTTGTGGACTAAAGCATAAAAAAAAAAGGTTGATGTGCATCCACTCGTCAGAATACACCACTGTTCTTATTCCCAATTCTGGCCCATGTCAGCTCTTCAGAAAAGCAGAAATTGTTATCATAGTCACTTGTCAGATTGGACTACTGTACCTTGACCATCTGTCTGTGTAACTTGTGTGTGCAACGGGCATCAAATGACACATTGCCCTGTGATACGGCTAATTTGTGTTGAACTTAAGGGACAGGCAGGGGGTAAAGTGGGACAGAACGATCTGGTGCGGCACTCCGGCGCTTTCGATTAATAAGTAAATAAATCTGATGGGCAGTTTCATACATAATAATGTCAAGCGAGTTTATTTTTCGTGTGCTGCAGCCTGTCATTCCTTCTAGCTGACGAACAAATAGGCCGCACACTCAACACACATCCATTTTCTGATGTCATCCCTTCCCTTTAGTGGGTTCATGCATGCATATGTCGATCTCTCAGAAGGGGAGGAGCCACTGATGTTCATTTCTTTTGTCTAGCCTCCTTTGGGCCAGTGGGATCCGGAAAAAATATGTCAAGCAATGGGTGCTTAAAAGAAGGTCAGCTGTCCAAAAAGGAAACAGTTCCACTGGAACTCACAGTAAAAATCAATTAGGGAATTATTTTGAGCATGGGTAATTTTATTCCTGCTGCACCACTACATCGGATTTAAGGGTTTCCCCACCTGCCAAATCCCACTTTAACCCCTGGGGACAAGATCAGAAGCTTAGACAGTGTACAAAAACTGCTCTTTTTCATTGAAAGGAGACAGTTGAGGTGCTTCCATCTGGTTGTCTGTTTGCCTTCTTGTAGAGGTATTCCAGGTGATGCCATATGTTAAAACTGCTCTATAATACCCTTTCCCTGAATGCTTTTTCTGCACAGATTGGATAAATTAGATGTTATTTATAATGCCACTGAGAGGATTGATGATTAGGGCGCTTAAACCGTCACTGCTGACCAATGTAAAGCTATTAAAGGGAGACAGGCACATTCTCAAGGTTATAATGAAAGAAATATTCAAGTGTTCCCAAATCACCACTAAACTGTCAAAAAATCAACAGAATAAAAATATGAATTTAATTTTAAGCTCTGCCTTTTTCCCCTCTGTATTTGCACGTCTGTTCCTTTCATTTGTGCAGACGATTCCCTTTCTTTATTCCGTGGCATTTTCCTCCTTGGAGCAGGTGAGAGAGGATACAGCTGAAATTCCGCCTGTCTGTCAGCCCTTTGTGGGGAAGATTTCTCCCAAAGAGCAGCTTTATGCGCCACTGACTGCCATGATTAACGTATTTACAGGGAGATAAAGGGAGAGAGGCGGAGAGCCGGACAGGGAGAGAGAAATCAGCTGAACCCTCATTGAAACTCGATGAATTAGATTATGGGAGTGAGCCGCACACAGAATGAACATGCGTATTAGCTTCTATTGTCAGGATCTGTGCGGGGAGCGGGGTGAGGTCGATGGAGTTGAGCCCGGTATAATTCAGCTGTCAAGAAACGTTTGAATTCCAACACATGACTGTTGGGGAAGTGAAATGTGGCACACACTGATTCATGTTGGAGTGAGATTTGTGTTTTGTTTGAGAGGATTTGACGTTTCAGTCAACATGGCCAAGTCGTGGTGGTCTAATCCATGTGGCGGGGCTTTATGGAGGGGTTTCCAGACAGCGTTAATTAACCCGGAGGTCGATTAATATTGTAACTGTGAGCATTGGGAATTGGAACTTCCTTTGACTGGGACGTCTTCAGAGTGTGTGCATGACAGTGTGTGTGTATGACAGCGTGTGTGTGAGTGTTTTAAAAGTCCTGTGCGACCGGGTCGGTGCACATCTGTCTACATAAGTCTCTCTGTCCATTTGAGCCTGCTTTGCTTACCCACTGACTCATTCTTTTTGATTAATGCATTAATGGCCAGCACTGAGAGTCCCATTACACTGGAGCTCAGAGTGTCTATCAGATATGTGTGTGCGTGATTCTGATGACAGTTTGAGCAGAAAGTGTAATGTTTGTGTGCCCCCCCACCACCTTTCATCTCCCATGCTCTGTCGCGACGCTCTGTCCTCGGTGTGCCCGCCTCAGATGCCAGGCCATTTCACAGCCTGCTTCAAAAGGCTTCCTCTCACTTCCAGTCACTGCCAGTAATTCCCAGTTTCTCTTTTCAATCTCATGACTTTTTCTGCAAATGGCCTCTAATTCTTTCTCATACGACCTCTTCTCCTCTCCCATTTCTTAGCCTTCCCCCCCGGTGTTCTAATTCTTCATTTTCCATTCACATATTTCCATGCTTGTAATTTGTAGCATCTGTAACATACCGAGACACATGCACCTTTCCTTGGATTTATCACATCTAATTTCTAGTAACTGATACGCTGCATCTTCATTTTACTGCCATGGGCACAGAATTTCCCTTCTTTCTTATCTTATCTTTATGTTATCTTTCCTTGCTTTGCTCTCTCCCATCAATCTAATTTTCTCTTTCATTTTAACATCATACAAACAAGGTTGTACTCCCTCCTCTCATTTCTCTCCCCCGTGCTGCATTTCATCATATGTATCTTTTGTGCTGGAACACAATAGACTCCATCCTCCTCCTTGTTCTCTCTTCACCTCTTCAGTTTTCCTTCTGTTGGTTCTTCTCTCTCCCTCGGGGGATGAAACACCTTGCTCTCATTACAAAGGGGCGGTAATCCCCTTTTCAAATTTTTTTCTTTTATTTCCTCCTCCAGTACTGTACTGTTTCAGCTCCTTCTCCATTAATGTCTTTTCTGTACGTAATTCCTCATTTCTTCTTTCTTGTTCACTCTTCTGCCCCATCATCTTGCTCTCTCTTTCCTATGAGCCTTATAAACCTCCTCTCTTACCTTTTTTACTTATCTCGTTATTTAATTTTCTTTCAGCTTCTCCTCCTTTTTTGACCTCCTTGTTCTCCCTCCATCTTTTCTCTTGCAGATGAGATTGATATGTTGGAGCGTCTCTGGCTGTCGGGTATCTGCCACAATGATAAGATCGAGGTATGACGTCTTATACCTTTTCTCCGCTTTTCTCCATCAACCTGGCACACGGTCAGCCACTGCACTGTTCATAGTTTGTAGTCCAACCTTAATGCTGGTCAGATTGTCAGATTGTTGTCCAACCAACCTGGTGTCAAGAGCTATCCATGGTGCTGATCCCAATGTGAACGAAGACCAGACACGGACTGCCTTAAGAATGTTTAGACATTTTTCTGATATTCCCTCTGACAGATAACCAGGTATCATCAAAATCATCTTATCAATCACCATTTATAATCTAAAAAAAAAACATTTCAGAGACCACATAAGAGAATTGAAGCGAGAAACCTCTTTAACATTAAAGCCTCAGTACTTTTAGTTTTCAGTTTTCACTTCATAGTTGCCTTAGTTTTTTTTTTGATAAGAGTGAATTTTACCCTGCTTGTCTTACAGCTTATTATTTACTTCAACTTCACTGATAAATGTGACACCAATATTGACAATATGGGAAAGGGTGATTTTTCCAATCATAAAGCTACTTGATGGAAAACTAAGTGGAAAAACTGTATATTAAGTGGTTAAAGTCGTCACAAAATCCAAAGTATATGATCATCTGCACTTGTTTGCAATGGTTACATGTAATCAAAAGTTCGAGGTTTGAGATTTGTTTTCCTTCTAAATGATTACGCATCCATACTCCTGCTTCCTGTCAGTTAACTTTGTTTTGCTCAGATTTCCAAACACAAGTAGCTGTTGCCTATCAGATGTCACCCTGCATTTTGTGGTGGTATTGTGCAGTTGCTTTAGATGACAATCGCACACCTAACAAAACTGCACTACAGGTCTGTAATTTCAGGTGTGTATGTGCGGTTATTTGGTGTTATACAAGTTCAAATGATATTGTTGTCACTTGGACAAACAAACCAAACTTAAGGCGTAAACACCTCAGAATAGATGTCTGCACACGTCCCCAAAGGAACCAAGACCTTTGATATAAAGAAATAATAGTTGATTGATTGATTCAACAGTGAATGCTGCGTGGCTGCAGATAAGAGCTATTAATGTTTATACTGAATAAATTAAATTGCCTGAAAAGCTCTTGGTTTGATGCGAACCAGATATTTTGTAGTGACTGACATGTTTTGGTCTTTGCATCAGTGTTCTGAGCGCAGGGGCTTTAAAATCTCACAGATGGGTGCTCTGACATCCAGTGACAGCAAAGGATTCTCTATTGTACTGCTGGTTGTAATTAACTTTTTATCTGCTGTCTGGGAGACAAATTGGTGCTCGTTACTAATAAATACAGTCTCCTGTCTCATCTCTGCTCCTCCCTTCTCATATGCTTTCCTTTTACCGGCCTTTTACTTTCCTGCCTTCTTTTCCTCGTCTCCTCTCTCTGCTCTCACCTCCTATAATCTTTACCATTACTCTCCTTCCCTTCTGCCTTCCCCCATCTATTATCCACTCTCCCTTCCAGGTGATGAGCAGTAAGCTGGACATAGACAACATGGCCGGAGTCTTCTACATGTTGCTAGTGGCCATGGGACTCAGCCTCTTGGTATTTGCCTGGGAGCATCTAGTGTACTGGAAACTACGGCACTGTGTGAAGCGATCTGGTGGCATGGACTTCCTCCTGGCTCTCAGTAGGGTGAGTGAAGGCATAACATCGAAAAATAAAATAGGCAAAACATGTACTTTTAGATTGATAATCTAAACAACCACAAGTGGTTTCATGCATGTAGATGCAACACAATGTGGTTAACAAAAGATGAAAGAAAGTGTGGTAAAAGCAAAACTTGAAACAACACATTCAAATGAGGTTCTTGGTCTTTCCCCAATAATTTGGTCTTTCTCTTTAATTTGTGAATACTCTTTTCTGATGTGCAATCAGGAAGGCTGTGAACCTAATGCATGTAGAACTGTATTTTATCTGCATAACAACAGAAACTGATAACAAATGTCTGAACTTTTGCAAATTGCAGCATTTGTAATTAGAAAAGAATGGAAACAAGCAATGAGCCTTGAGGCACACCAAAATAAATACTGGCTTTTCAGAACAGCTCTCTCCTGATTTTTGATTAACAAAACTGTTAACAGTTTTGAATGAAGCACTGAGATCACAAGGTAAAAGAGTATGTTCTGGTAAACCATGAATCTCACATGCTTAGGTTTGTGAAGCCATTTCTTGTTGCAGTGGATCCCACACAGTAAGATTTAAAATGAGAACATTACTAGTACATTAGTATTATATATTATTAGTACAATACTGGGAGAAATGGATGTTCCTGTATAACCATTCCTGAAAATGCACATCACACCACCTTCTGAAATAGTGTGCAGTTCTTTAACCTCAAGACAGAACAACAAAAGATACAAATATGAGCCTAATCTAGCTACACAAGATATAAAAACAATTCAAAAGCCAGGTGGTAAGAGAACAAAGAGACGTGACATCTGAAGCGTAAGAGTTTTCATTTCAACCTAACACTGCAGCACCTGATCTCACTGATTTACACACCCTCAACCGGAGAGAGAGATAAGAACCAATCAGAGAAAATAACCTGCAGATTTATAATATAGTTCTTGAGGAGCACTGGTAAACAATTTATACAGGAGCAGATGTTATGATAGACTGAAAGGTGTACTCTTACAATCTCCTGTTCCTTGGATTAGATTGAAAACGAAAATGAAGATATTTTAGTGATTGCAGCCATGACGTCCATTTCATTCAGGATAATGGATCTATAGATGAGAAGAGGTTAATTAGTTTTCAGAAACTATCAAGATATGGATTGTACAAAAGTAGGTGACACTTTATATTGGTACTTGTTTTTGGCACTCAGCAGAGGGCAAGGAGGCCAAAAAGAGGATCATCAATGGAATTTATCCTTGGTATCAAGCCAAGAGAGAGGGCCATGGTCCAGGGCAGAGTGATCACTTAGCTGTCACACAGCTATTTTCTTTTAGAGCCAATGCAGTTTCTGTAAGTTCAGCTCTGGGTCCTGGAAATATCTAGTACATGTCCTGAGACTTGCGGGGTTTGAGGCGAAAAAGAGGCAGGGTTTAGAGATGAGGGGAGAAGAGGGAGGTAATGAAATGACCAGAAAGAAGGAAAAGGAAGAGGCATCAAGAAAGGGAAGTGAAAGAGGTGAATGCTGTGTTTGGGGAGGGAAAGAAATGAGAAGTGGGATGGTGAAGGGGAGGGAAACTTTAAGATAAGAAGAGCGCTGGTTGAGGCTGTGACGGCTGTGGGTTTGGGTGGCAGAGGTAGTGGAGTACAGCATTGTGTGTTGGATAGAGGCCAGAAGGAGGTGCAGGATGGAAAGAAACGTCAGGGACAAAAAGGAGGAGGGAGGACAGAGGCGAGAAGAAGAGGAGAGGAGACTATTGAAGTGTAAAACGAGCTTCGTAGAGCGCTTGGGAGATATTCTTGTTTGTCAGAAGACGCTGTGATGGAATGCTTGGTGTGTAAGTGTGTAAGTGTGTCCCCTGGTTGTAAGGGTGTCAACACCATGTTGGAATGATGACAACAGATTGTGATTTATTGCCTCCTCCTGTCTGACAATGCAGAGAAAATGGCTAATTTATGCACAGCGGAAGAGTGTTCTAATTGCACTATAAAAAGGAGGGAGAGGACATAACACTACAGCTCTTACTTCTGACGTTATTCTTCCAACATATGAGCACACTACTCTAATTTTATCTGCTGAAAACAGACTTATTACTTTTGCAAATGAAAAAACCCTTGTTGAAACTATGAATTATATAGAACCTCAGCTAAGAATCTCAACGCTCATTCTAGTGATTCTAATGATCTTGACAGTTAATTATACAAACGTGAATTTCAGTACAAGTTAATACAGTTATGAGATAAAACACATGAAGGTGTATACAAACCTAGAGCTAGCACAGAATACAAATTAATACAGAAAGGATATTAGACAAAGGAGAAAGAGAAAGGAGAGTTTATTTATGAGATACACATTACATTCACAGTTTTCATCTAGCATAAAGTGGAAAAAAAAGATTAATTTCAAATTAACAGCATGCTTGCAAGTCAATTAAATGGAATTTAAGATATTTATTGATCACAAAAGCACATTAAAATAATAGTAATAAAGATTTAATTCTGCTGTAGCAAGTATGGATGTGTAAGGCCTCTTTGATGGTTCTTAAAATCCTCCTGACGCCTGAGCCCAACACAGACCAATTAATTTAGGACAGAGTCTGGCCAGAGTTAAACAGCTAACAAACCAAGCCCAAGCCTATATTGTAAAATGAAAAGACACACTGATTTGCCTCTTTCTGTTTCTCTGCCTTCCTGACTCTCTTAACTCTCAAAGCTACACACAAATTCTCTATGTTGTGGAAGTTCACGCTTCACAAGAGCTAGCCCAAACTTCAGTTCACACACACTAAAATTAACTAGTTCACATTCATTTCTTCCGTGAGGCTGCAGATCTCCTACAGTGTATTTTAGTACAAGTCTTTCTACTTCTTGGGAAATGAAGGTAAAATGCCGTGAGTTTGACTTGGGTGGAGGAACTCTGTTGGCTCGTGGTCTAATAAGCCAGCTTTTTACTTTCCATTGTTCACTACCTTGCTTCATAATATGAACTTCTGTTATTTTAGCATGAATCTGCATGAATGTGTTAAGTCTGGCAGGTTCAGCCAGGTTTTGTTCTGGTTGAAGATCTGGTGTATGTACTGTTATAAGCCATTTATTGAACACACTCTACTGTTTTATTGATAATTTGTATTGACTATGTGGGAGAAAATCCACTTTGTCCCCTGTAGTTTCTGATATCTATTCTCTGACGGGCTTCCCTGTTGACCCTTTGGAGTGCAATTACACCTCTCTTCATACATTCAGAGTGTACCATCATTTTTTTTCACATGAGCAAACGCTATTCTTATCTGTAGCATTCCTCACTCTAAGAATAAAAACATCAATTCCATGCAAAGGGCACTCCCAAGACCAGTTAACTTATATCTCCCAAGGTATATGCTGTGCTTGCTTTAAAGCCTCTGCAGCTGGCCTCTGTGGCTTGCTTTAACCCAATCAGTGACTCACCCAAGTTTCAATTTCACAGTATGCTGCACCTCGTGCTCTGGGGACTGTGATAGCACTTCTGCCACTGGGACTGCTGATTCATGTGTCCGGAAGGGCCATTATTACAGTCCCTCCATCAGATCTTTGTCCCGGTGGGGAGCAGAGATTTACAGGAGGCCCCACACATTTAGTCATTAAGATGTGACAGATATCGATGGATATTATGAATCATTTTCACGTATAAAGAATAATAGAGTCTTTGTGATTTACATGGATGTCCTCAGTACTGCTAATTGAGTCCCATCTATCTACAGCGAGTAAATATACAAAGGTAGGGGAGAAAGAGCAACCAGGCACAGTAGAGATAGCTTTGCTCATCTGACATGATTTTATATCTGGCTGTTCCTGCTTGGGGTTTATAATTTAAAAAGAAAATGTCACAAGGATCTAGTCATTTACTCATTATTATTATTATTATTAATAATAATATGATTATTTCATGTTTTATTCATATCAAATGTTGTTAAATGTTGCTGCTGAAATGAAATGTAAGTCACACTGCAGCACGTTTGGAGCAGTTCATTGAAACCAAGTGAGAACAATCTTATCTAAACTCAAGTGGCAACAAACAACGGCACCAAGACATGTGAAAATGAGAGCCTCTGTCCTGATATGTCGTTGTCAGGTCCAACTACAGTAAACAAAATGCACAATTTTATGTAAATGACATCAGATAAACAGTTGTTTAGCTCACCACAAAAATCTCGCTGTCAAGTCTGAATTTTCTTTTTTTTTTTAAGTAGTAACAGTTGCAAATAAACATGTTTCAAGAACTGTATTTTTTAGGATCAGGTTTCATTTTTCTTGATTCCTGTGCATTGACTTCTCTTGGTATTTCAAGATACAGACAATCATTTCTAAAAGATTCTTCAAATAAGTAGATTTATATTTGAAATGTGATGAATTATTCTTACTGCATTGGCAGATTACTTCTCACTTAGTTTAAGAAAATAAACGATTCTCTACATGAACATCAAAGAAGGGTGCAGTCCATACTCAAAAGTTTTAGGAACTGAAAAGAGAAAATTCTATTTCAGGTAATTTCATTCATCATTATTTCATTCTTAATTTGTGTCTTTTAATTTGTGTTCTCAATCTGTCACCAGCTGTTTTACTTGCACAATGAAAAAATAGGTTCTGTTGCTTTTGCTCTCCCCCATTGTTTTGACTTCTCTCCAGAAGCTGTTTACTCTTTGCGCATACATCCCTCTACAATTATGTTTCACAGTGCTTTTGGAGAAAAAACAGCCCTGCTCCAGCTGAGTGATGCTTTGTTTGCTAAAGGCTTTGTTTGGTTTGATAGTGTGAAAATTGACACTCCAAGAAGCTTGGTAAACTCAGTCCAAAGTTTTTCCAAAACTATCATCAATATTTAATGGTCAGTGCTCCCTGTTGTCTGCCTTTATAGGAGATGTGGTGACACAGAGAACCTGAGGCAGAGGGAAACCTCCTAGAGTGATTTCTAAGCATTCTGAGAAATAATAAAGATTTTCTGTTATGCTATGCGCTGAATACAAATAAAGAAAACTAGGGTGGATAGAGGATAAATGAAAATACAGAAGTTGTAGCCCAGACAAATGTAAAACCTATTTGGTTTATCAAAGACTCTAGTAAAGCAACAGAATACATACAAACAGCAGAAACGTCAGATAGGTCAGACCACCTTTAACTATATCATTAACGTTACAGTTAATGATAAAATAACAATAGAAAATAACAAATTTGCAGATTTTATCTCTACAATTCAAAGTATCAGTTGTCAACCCAGCAGTGACTGATGCTATACAGTAATCCAACAGCATAATCATCAGTTTATTAGTTGATCTTTAACATGGACCGAAATCCAAATCTTAAAAATACCATTTTCTGCTCAAATATGTATGTAGTTTACTGTTCATGTTATTTTTACTTACAAGAACAAAACTTAACAGCTCATTTGTAATTTTGTAATTTCTCTTCATTAATCACCATCATTTTCTAACCTGTTAATTTCACAAAAAAAATTGTGGTGTACTGTGGTGACCAGTATCTTTTTGCAGTAATCGTAAGAAAATCAGTCAAAGTGAGTGTTTAAATTGATCAGAAACTTTCAAAATATCTGGATATTTTTTGATGAAACTAGTAAAGGCTGGAACAAGGAGCGTTCCGTACTGCATTTTAGTTTTATGATGGTAGCTTTCATATGGTTTGTGTAAGTGCCGGATCAAAACTGCTCCTTTTCAAAATTTGGTATGTCAGGCTTTCTTTCTGTGTCTCTCTGTCTCTTACACATACACACAGTTCCCTCTTATCATACTTGGCAGCCTGCTGGTCTAATTACAATCTTTCTTTTATCTCTCCACCCAGGGGATGTACAGTTGCTGCCAGTTTGAGGATGAGACAGCACCAGGAGGGAGCAATTTACCCCAGTACCACACCATGACAACCATGTCTACGGCACCCCAACAACACCTTGTTACAGCCACAATCAATAACACGACTGCCATTGCCATGGTGCAGCAGCAACAGCAACAGAAGCACCACCAACAACAGCAACAGGGGCAGACCTACACCACCATGCTACCCGGATCACCACCAACTACAGGACACTCAGCAATGGCTCTGGGACCCTCAAACAGCCCCTTATTAGAAGGCCCCATGCCCTGCTCCACCTTTTTGCCTCGACATGACCGCAGACTTGCCGTGGTCGATCGTTGGAACAGGCCAAAGCCAGAGAAAGTCATGAGCGGAGGCAGTGGTGGAGGAGTGGGTGTTGGAGGGATAGCAGGAGGGATCAGTGAACTCCAGGCTCAGCAGCAATATCAGCAGAATCTTGGACAGCACTGGACCCTGCAAGGAGGTGTTCCAGTTGGAGCAGGAGGAGGAGGTGACACAGGGCTAGATGAATATAAGCGCTACTATGGTCCTATAGATCCAGAGGGACTAGGAGCTAACTCAGACCAACAGGCAGGGGGACCCCAACAGACTCCCAAAGCTAATTCTCGAGGCCCAAAAGCCTCAGGCATGCCACGTTTGCCTCCTAAAGGCCCCCAACAAGGCCCAGGGCACTTAATCTCCAAGCCACCTCCACTGATCCCATCTTCCCCACGGAGGCCTCCTTTCTGGCGACGAGGAAGCCTAGTTCAGGCAAGGAGAAAAGGCTCAGGAGGTCCCTTGTATGAGAATATACTCCCTCTGGGGAGGAGAGGAGGTGGGAGGTATGGAGCAAGCGATGGAGGTGGAAGGAGAGGGCGACGTCCTCCTCCACCTCCTCTGCCTGTCCCCCTTTCCTCCCCAACACACACCCCTACTACTCCCTCCTCACCATGCCGTTTCTACTCCTCCTGCTCCAGTGCCTCGTCCTCTTCCTCTTCCTCTACATCATCGTCATCCTCTTCTTCATCCTCTGTCTCGCTCTCTAGGTCAAATTCCCCCTCTTCTTGCTCAAGTGACAGCTCCTATAACTCCTCGCTGAGTTTCCGGTATCGAGCAGGTGACCGGGATTTTATGGTGGATGATGACTATGACTCAGATCTGCTTACAGAGGAGTCCAGCCTCCTTCTGGGGTCACGGAGGAAGATTCGTTCCCGTCGTATGTCATCGCGCTCACTTCCGTGCAGCCCACCACCTCCTCCAATCCCGCCCCGAAAGCCACGTCCTCAGAGGGATTATGGCAGAGAAAGAACAGGCAGCCAGCTGGCCCAATTACAGGAGTGGTGGGCATCGTGGGGTGACAGAGAGCGAGGGAGAAGTGGAACAACAAGCCGGGGAGATGGAGGAGTGGGTAGAGAGGAGAAGAGACACAACAAAGAGAGGGAGCGTGAGAGGAAGAGGAGGAAGAAGGGCAGAAAGAAGAAGAAGAGGGAAGAGAGGGAGAGAGAAAGGGAGCGAAAGCGCCGCAAAACAAAGAAAAAGAGGAAGAAAGATGACAAGATAAGGAAGAGAGAGCGGAAGAGGTCTGAGCAGGAGGGAGGAGATACTGAAAAAAGAGAAGAACCCAAGTCAGGGACACCAGACTACCCGTCGTACCCACCCCTGAGACGAGAGTCTTTTCGGAAAAAGAGTGAAAGCTCAATCAGAAGCTATGGCTGGAACATCCCAGGTGAAGAGGAGAGGAAGGAAAGAGAAGAGAAAGAGAGGGATGATGGGGAAGGCGGCCGAGGGAAAGAAAGACACCCCAGGCGAAGGAACAGCAAGCATTATCAAAGCTCTAGCAGTAAGCCTTCTTCATCTGTCAAGTTCTGGGGAGGGGGAAACCCATCCTCCGACACCATTCCATCTGCCTTTCTACCCTTGTTGCCTGTCTCCTCTAAAAGGAGGAAGAGTAAAAGTTCAGACAGGGATGCTGTAGGTATGGAGGGAGAGAAGAGGCCATTGCTGGGACGGAATGGAAGAGGTGAGATGCACTCCAAGGAGGGGTTGTCCTTCCATGAGTGGGAGTCCGAGGTAGAACGTGAAGAAGAAGATTCTGAGCTTGAGCGGAGGAAAGCAGAGCATGGAAAGAGGCGTGGAGGAGGAAGGACAATGTCTGATGAGGAGCGGGAACGTGATAAGGTAGTCGGGATATATTCTGATGATGATGGTTCTTCAGGAGAGTTTGGGAAGTTTGAGAGGTATTGGGAGGATCATGAAGGCAGGGCAGTAGGAGGGATCGGAGGGGGAGGTTGGTTTTTCAGCACCTACCCATCCAGGGATAAAGCCGGCAGCATCAACAGTAGAGATGATCTGTTCCTGGAGCGAGGAGAGAGATGGGGGACAGCAGAAAGTGGATGGGGATCTAGTGGAGGTGGTGGTGGTGGTGGTGGAGGAAGAGGAGAAGGAGGAGATAGAGGGTGGGGATCAGGATCACATTGGCCCCCGCCTCCTCTCACGCCACCACCTCCTCGACGATACTGGTCAGTGGACAAACTCCACATACAGGATGAGAAGAAGAGTAAACGCAAGTCAAAGGACAAGGGAAGAGGGCACGCGGCTTGTTCCTCCTGTCAGTCCCCACGACACCATCCACACTCCCATTCCACCAAATGGGCCCGCATAACATCGCGAAGCCAGGAAGAGCTGTACGAACACTGCCAGAGTTTTGGTGGTCCCCTCAAGCCCAAACATGACTCCTCATCTTCCTCCAAACCTGATCGCTCACAAAATCCATCCAAATCTGGCAGCCAGTCAAACCTCAGTATCCAGCAGCGGACACAGAGAACAGATAGGGATCGAGATCGAGGACGGCAATCATCCCCACCTCCGACCCTCATACCTAACTTGCCACCCTCGCTTCCCGCCCTTCCAGCTCCTCCGTCCTCATCTCACCCTATCCACGTTCCACCCCCTACCTCTTCCTCTTCTGTATCCTCTCCCTCTGTGGTCTCATCCACCCCAGGGGCACCCCAGCCCTCCTCCATGGCTTCGGCAAGTGCTAAACTACAGTACCAGAGATTGCGCTCTGTACCTCAGCCCCAGAGGTTCCCTCAGTCTCCTCACTTACCCCTCAAAGCCAAGAGCCTTTGCTCGCGAAGGGGCTCAGCCCATTTCTCCAGTGTGGAGAGTGAGGTCTGAAGTTCAACAAGGTATCAAAAGTCATAAGCGAGCCCCGCAAGGCTGATGCTAAGCAGGTGATCTGGATCTGAATCTGCCTGGCAGCATACATGGCTGCGCAGCCAAGTCAGTACAGTATACGCACTGAGCCCTTTCCTAAAGTTCTGCACAAACAAACCAGAAAGCCAAACAAACCCAATGAGGTTGGTCAAAGGAAAACAGGAGCAATCTTGTGCTTACTGTTGTTTCCTTTCATTCCTCTCAGTATGTGAAAGACTACAACCACAACAACAACTTGCATTCTGAACTGGGTTAACCAATACACTTAAGCAAATCAGACATTAAAAGTGGTACAGCTGAAGGAGACTCCTTTGCTTTAGACAGTAAAGGGCTTTGGATGTTGAAGCAGAGCAGTAGTTTGTATTCAGATGATTCTTAATGCTTACTGAGGGCTCAGGAACTTTGTAGTACTGTATGCCTGCTGCTCTCGGAAGCCTTTAACACAGAACAGTGTTCTTATTTTTTCCCTTAAACAAATTGCTTACCCCTACTTTCCTTTTTCCTTAACAAACTGTTTACACCCCCGCAGAACTGTGACGCCCTCTCGAGGCACGTTTGTTGTGTATGATCAATACCTTCTTGATTAGAGGGAGAGGAGGGTGATAACCACCTTGTCTTCTCAGTGTTATCCATGCATCCTCTCTGGTTCTCTTCTCTTTTGTTCTCTCCTATTTATCTCCTGTTTTCTCTCTTCTCACCCGCTCTACCACATTATTTTCTCTTTTCTTTCTTTGCTTTACCTCTTTTCCCACCTTATTCACATGTCTATCTTCTCCTCATCTCCCTTGTCATCTCCTCTCCTGTCCTCCCCTCTTGGCTCCTCTCCTTGATGTGATTATTCTGTGTGTCTGTGCTTTTCTGTGTTTGTATTCTTGACAACAGGGTAAGTCAACTGTGACTGATATTCTACTGGCTTAATGAAAAGCTGAGTGCCAAACCTAAGTAGAGCTCGACATCAATCTGTACAACGTTAGCTGCTGTGTTTCCTTTTATCTTGCAGAGTATTCCATCATCTCCAAAATACGCGCACATGCAAATACACACTCACAGACACATAAAAGTGCACATTAACACCTGCATACAGTCAATTCATTTGTTCTCTTTCTTGAGCAATACATTGTTCACACTCTCTTCATGTTACAATTTTATACTTTGAAACCTTTACTTTACTTCTGTGTTGTAGTTGTTGTTATTGATGGTGTTCTATATATCAAAACATGTATTAAGTCTAATACAATGTAAACACTGTGCCATACTACTCAAGCTGCACATGAAACATTCTCTCAACTACCTAAATACGACGATGGAGGCAGTGTCTATTCTCTCCCTGCTTTTGACTGAATGTAAAGTCAGCCACCAACAAGTGTGCTGCAACAACAATTAAGACACTTGGAGATGGAAATTGTAGCATTTCTGATGGTAAGAATGTGTGACTAAGTTAAGAGACATGAAGAGAGTTGACTTCAGGTCGTTGTTGATGTAGCTTTACTTAAGCAACAGTATGCTACTCTTGCAGTCTTTGCATAAGGATTAGACCTGAGTTGAAAATTTTTTTTGTTTGTTTCTTCTTGCAAGTAGTCCAATTAGTGCTGAGACGAGAATGCAGCAAACATTTGCAAAACAAAACGAATCAACCCAGGTTTGCGTGCCGTCAAGCAGGAAATATGTGTCTAACATGCTAGGTGGAGCTACACGTTTGTTAGACAAGGTGAAAGATTGTTGCAGGGAAATAAATACGTATAGCCTTATGCTAATTGCTCCTGCCATATGTTTTGTGTAAAGTATGAGTATGAAGGTATGTATTTTAATCAACATGGCTGGGGTTAGCCCCATGCTACCAAGACAGTATGATCAGACGGGGAGGATCTTGATTTGAAATTATATCTAGTGCAAGTGCCGTTTTGATGTCAAAGAGACTGTGCCTATGTTGGATGCTAGCTAGCGAATGAGACAGTTTTGAGGAAGTGCTGGATCTGGGCGATGGTGTATGAAAGACACAGTAGCACCTCCTGTGCAATCCTGTTTTTTAAAAAGGTATTTCTCACCTTGTAAATGTGTAACCAAGAGCTATAGCTTTTTAATCCATGACCAAGCTGACACCAGCACTTACACTCAGATGTCAAGCAATTAGCTAGAGTATCTAGTTATATCCATCGACATTAGAATTAAGAATCAGGACACTGGACATCAGTAGAGTTTTAGAGAAGAGGCAAGAGCCGTTGGCACAACACCGTTTGTGTTTTTCAGTCGGTTATAATGCCTGAGCCATCTTTCCCATAACAGTCTGGTGAGCGCTTGTTGTTTGCCTGGAACTGCATCTGAGCCATAATTTACTTCAGCTGAAGAAAACAAAAAGATAACTTACGTTTTTAACATAAACTTGTTGTGTAGAATTTGTTTGCCTTTCTTTAAGAAAAAAATCTATATATATATATATATATATATATATCATATATATATATTTGTGGCGGTGGGTAGCGTTAGAGAAAATTGTTGTTTAGCATCTTGATATTTGGGGATATTGTTTCTCATTCTGAGTCCATTATAATAATAATATGAATATTATGTGTTAAAAGCACTTCTTCCCTCATGTTCACTGACAGCAGGAAAATTACTTTGTTCAAATTATGGATTTACTTTCTTCAGAAAAGATTGACTATATTAAGCCAAGTTGGAGGCAGTTCAGTGCTGTGCTTATTACAATCAGCAATCAACAGCTCATACAACTTTCAATTCAAACCAGGAAAAGCGTGGAGCAAGAGTGACATGTTTCTGTGCATTCACACCGCAAGCAACTCAAGTCTTGCCCAAATACAATCTATACGACCTATTTTACTTTTGCCATTGAAAACTTGGCTGCAGTTACATCATTTGGGCTCATTTGTCTTGCTTTGAGTCAAACCTGTTGCTGAAACACTACAGCATCCGTGAGCTATTATAAACAGGTAGATTAGTGCAGCACAGCAGCTGCTAGCGGTGTGAACACAAAGCTTGGTTGTTTCATGAGAGAAATGAGCCACCGATCTTTTCTTCTCTCCCTTCGCCTCTTTTTCCTCATGTCTATCCATTGTGTTGGTGCGTGTCTGCTATTGTAAAGCTGGTCTGTTTTTAAAAAAGAAGAGTATTTGTGGATATATTTATTTCATCTAAAAAAAATAGCATATCTAAATATATATGATAGTATATTTCAAGGCGCTAAGATCTATGTTATATAAGTTTGTCTACTAAATTTTCGGTATTATCTCAATGAATATGTCTTTTTTGTCTGTTTGTCTGTCTCTCCTTGTCTCGAACCTCCTGCCCAGCTCCCTAACCCCCAGCGAAAACAGAGACCAGTATGTAACTGTGTTTTTGCTCACTTAAGACCAACCATCCGCCTCCATTAGCTATCTATTGTAGCTAACGCTAAGATTTCAACAAAGTGACAACATGGAGGGGTGTGCGAGTGTCTTATGACCACGTCACTGTAGCAGTGGCGGCGTGTGTTTGTCTACCCAGAGGGGCCTTTATTTTTGGTTTGGGCTACAGATTAACGACTAATTAAACCTTTTATGGATACAGCAGCAACTCTCACTTGTGTAGGGGTCACATTCTCGACCCTGTTTCAGGTTCACATCGGACCCTGGAGTATATACCCAGTGTAGAGTAAGGTGACCTCTTTGAAACACAATGTAGCGAGCAGCACAGGCTTTTTTTGCATCTTTTAGTAGCTGTATTACTATACAAAAACATGCACAGCTACCCCTGCCAACCAACTTATACGGTATATATAAGGACTTTGATATACGTACATAGTGTGTTGTATCTGCCAAGCTGCTGTGCTGTAAAACAAAAGAGAAAAGAATAGAATTATACACAACAAACACACTGTTTCTTTCTTAATTTTACAAAACTGGTAAAGCTAACATGTCAGGGGCAGGGCTAAATCTGCTTGCTAGTGTGGTTTCCACCAAGGCCAAAAATGGGCTTTCTTTTGATAATCATCTTTTCAAACAAAAAAAAAGTTAACACTTTTTGCCAGCAAGAAAGGATTGCTAAATGGACAACATTGATCCTGCGCACACCGTTGAGTAGAACATGGAAACAACACTGCCTGAGATAGGAGATCCACCCTCCTGGCCTACTTGCACTTTTTACGTGCTCATGATACGTTAATGTAATTCAGTATGGTCGAAGATCAATTTTCAACACTGCGTTAAGAAATATATGAAGCATTTATTGGCCATGAGCCCTGGCAAGCCCAATTTTAGCCTCCAGTGGAAACACATTCACAGTTTCTGCCTGTACACCTCTGAACAATGTCTCAAGGCCTTGTATTAATACTGCTGTATTGACTGACTGTACAATCTGATGGCCAGTTATGTTACACTTTATTGTCAGCACCTCACAAACACACACAGAGACCTACACACACACGCACACACTGACAGAAGTACAGCTAAAGACACACTTGACTACATAAATATACAGTTATACACACACAAACATACGTACTTACAAATGCATACATACAGAGCATGAACATAAGTATAAATGCTGTGTTGTTGTGTGGTGGTGTGTGTGTTGTTGTGTGTTGTTGTGTGTGTGTGTGTGTGGTGGTGTGTGGTGTGTGTTCTATGTAATCATTGCATCGTCAGTCGTGTGCGTGTGTGTGGTAGCTCCTCTGTGTGGTGTTTGTGGAGTGGCGACACATAAAGTGTAACATAACCTGCCTCAGTTGTACAGTGCAGTCAATACAGCAGTATATGAATACGCAAGCGCGTTGAACATGGTGTTCAGAGTGTACAGGCAGAAACTGTGAAGGTGTGGTTGTCCAGCTGGAGGTGAAAATGGGGCTTGCCAGGTGGATTGGCCAAGTAAAGGAGTGTGCGTGCAGTATGTTCTGTGAACGCCAGTGGTTGAAATTGATCTTGCGACATGACGTGAATGTTCGATTAGACTTATCGATGGGACGTAAAAAGAAGTACCGGAGAGAGTGGATCCTCTAATCTCAGCAGTGTGTTTCCATGTTTGGCACGTCAACGTTGTGGTGCCGCCGGCCCCCGCCCCGGGCGCCGCCCGCGCGCGCCCCCCCCGCCCGCCCCCCCCCCGCCCCCCGCGCCCGCGCCCCGCGCCCCGGCGCGCCCCCCCCCGCCCCGCCGCGGCCCCCCCCCGCCCCGCCCCGCCCCGGCAGATCAATGTGTGTCCATTTAGCGAGTCGTGTGTCTGTATGAAAAGCGTTGGTGTTAACTTTTTTTTTTGTGGTTGAAAAGGATGAGTGTATCACAAGGAAAGGCCCATTTTTGGGCCTTTGCGGTGGAGAACCACGACTAGGGCAAGCAGATTTGAGCCTGCCCCGCTGACATGTTAGTCTGTTACGAGTTTCTTGTAAAAGTTAAAGAGAAGAAACAGTGGTGTTTGTGTGTGATAATGTCGTGATTTGCTGTTTCTCGTTTGTGGGTTTTTGACAACATCAGCAGTCTTGTCAGTATCAACACACTATGTACGTCTTACAAGTAAGAGTTCTGTTGTCTGAGGTGTGTTATTGTGGGGGGGTTGGTTCTATGGCTTGTTATAAAGGTTGGGTTGGCTGTGGGGTAGCTGTGCCATGTTTTTCTCTGGTGCCGTAGTAGTAGGTGGACAGGCTACTAAAAGGATTGGGCAAAAAAAGCTGGTGCTGGCGTTCCCCTGGGACATTTGGTGTTTCAAAGAGTCGGGTCACCCGTTACCTGTACACTGGCGCGGCTAGTATACGGTCCAGGGTCCGAGGGTGGGTGTGAAACCAGGTCGGGAGAAGTGTGACGCGCGGCCTACAGCAAGTGGAGGGAGTTGCTGGCGGTGTCATCCTAAAAGGGTTTAATTAGTCGTTTAATCTGTAGCCCAAACCAAAAATAAAGGCCCCTCCTGGGTAGACAAACACACGCCGGCCACTGCTACAGTGACGGTGGTTCATAAGACACTCGCACACTCCCTCCATGTGTCACTTTTTTGAAAATTCTTAAGCGTAGCTAACAATAGATAGCTAATGGGAGGCGGAATGGTTGGTCTTAAGTGGCAAAAACAGCGAAGTTACATACTGCGTCTCTGTTCGCTTCGGCTGGGGTGTAGAGAGCGCTTGGGCAGGACGCGTTCAGAGCAAGAGAGCAGACAGATACAAACGACAGAAAAAGAGACATTATTCATTTGGAGGATAATACCGAAGAATTGGTAGGGTAGGACAACTTAGGTAACATAGATCTTAGCGTGGGCCTTGAAATTCATACTATCATATTATTTAGGGATATGGCGGTATTTTTTTTAGATGAAATAATATATCCACAATACTCTTTCTTTTTTAAAACAGACCAGCCTTTCAATAGCCAGACACGCACCAACACAATGGATAGACATGAGGAAAAAGAGGCGAAGGGGAGGAGATAAAGAATCCAATTATTGTCACATGATTTCGGTGGCTCATTTCTTCTCAACACTTGACTAGCTCCAAAGTGTGATGGAGCTCTCCATAGCAGCTAGGCAGCTGCTGTGGCTGCTATTTATGAGCAGACATATTAACTACACCTAGTTAATCCTAAACATGAACTCACGGTTATGCTGTTAGATGTTTCAATACAAGCGCAAAGTTAGCAAGCGTTATTGACTCAAAAAGGCAGTTTCAGTCTATGGGACAAATAGAAGTCT